GATCCGCCTACCTCTGCCTCCCTAGTTTTTGTTTGTTTTTTTAAAGACTTAGTTAGTTAATTAGTTATGTATACAACATTCTGCCTGCATATATATATGCTCGCATATATATGTAACATCTCATTATAGATGGTTGTAAGCCACCATGTGGTTGCTGGGAATTGAACTCAGGACCTCTGGAAGAGCAGCCAGTGCTCTTAACCACTGAGCCATCTCTCCAGCCCTTGTTTTGTTTTCTGAGACAGGGTTTCTCTGTAGCTTTGGAGCCTGTCCTGGAACTAGCTCTTGAAGACCAGTTTGGCCTCAAACTGACAGAGATCCACCTGCCTCTGCCTCCTGAGTGCTGGGATTAAAGGCGTGGGCCACCACCGCCTGACTCATGAATTTGGAATTTGGCAAAGCTCAAGCAAACCAGTTTTAAGTGGGGTCTGAATCTAGAGGAAGAACAGTCTATATATTTATTCCATTTCCTCTCCATGAGCTTCAGAGAATCTTCAAGGATAACCCCTAGCACTGCACAATTGGGGTGTGGTGGTGCTTACCGTAATCCCAGCTCCCAGGCACAGACCTAGGATTACTGTAATCCAAGCCCCCAGGCACAGACCTAGGAGGTTATGGAAGATCAAGGTCATCCATTGCTACACAGGGAGGAAACACTGAGCCTAAGACCTGCGACTGTGTCTCAAAAACAAGTAAATAGAAATGAAGAGATGAAAACCCATTTCTCAGCCTTCTGTGTCTCAAAAACAAGTAAATAGAAATGAAGAGATGAAAACCCATTTCTCAGCCTTATTTATATACATAGTTACCATTTCTGGGACTCTGGATTTTCCTCTTATGGCCTAAAATGCCATCTGGGCCACTTCCTTCAGCCTAAAACACTTCCCTCGCTGTAATGGTCTGTCCTGTCCCTTTAAGATACAAACCCCGCCCACCCAACCCCCTCTGCCCAGGCAAACTGATCTTCAGCTTCCAGACTGAACCCTTCCTTTCCAGCTCTCCCCCAAAGATGCTGCTTCTGCCTCTCTCCCTTCTCCCCACTTCTTCCCACCCCCTTGCTTTTCTCTCTCTCTCCTTCTCTCTCTCCCTCTCTGTTCTTCCCCTTTCTCACCTTCCCTTCCATAACCCACTAAATAAATATCTAACCTCACTCTGCATGGCGTGCCTATTCATGTCTCTGTCTCTCACCTACCGCATGGCTCCCTGCATGGGACCGGCTGCCTGCCACCACTGGGGGACCTGCAGCATGGTCTCATGGCGCCATTTAGGAACCTACAGCGTTTCTGCTGCTGCGCCCCTCAGGGAACAGAGCTGATTTTACTTAAACCATAACACTCAGTGTTTCTTGAAAGCAAGCTTGCTGCAAAGAGTTTTCACACACATGTCTAAACCCGGGAATATATTTAGCTTGCCTTCATTATTTAAAGCATAGCTTTCCAGAATATAAAGGTCACCCGTTTCTTTCTGATAAATTTTCGTATTTTTGCTGAAACATGTTTCTCACTTTCCACCCAAATAAGCCAGAACCTGCCAACAGGGAAGCTTGTGTTCTGTACTGTGAGTCCTGCAAGGGTGTGTGTGCATGCATGTATGGCGGGAAACACACACACACACACACACACACACACACACACGTAGTAGAAGAAGGGGAGGTGGGAGCACACCTGGTAAGAACACCACAGGCTCCACACTCAGACAGAAGTGCATCCCTTTCTCAGATTAAATGCTTTTAAATTTGCTGTTTGCTTTTGGTGTTTGCCTCAAGCTTGTAAACAATTCTTCTCCTTAACCGCAGGTGTGATTTTAGAGCAGTCTGGGAGGAAGGACTTCCCACCATCACACTGCTCTGGCATATACAGATTAAGTGTGTGCAAAAGCTTGGATCCTTAGAACAGCAGCCTGCAGCTTGAGAACACTTGGTTGTATGAGTTGCTTGGCTCCATCACGGAAGCCTAGCCCTCTGGAGTATGTCACTTTAGGTTTTTTTTTTTTTTTTTCTTGTTGGAAACTAGAAAAAAATTATCTTTTCATAGGGGATCACGGGGGACTCAGATGTCCTGAGTGTCTGCTGGGTTTCTAGTGTGACATGTTATTCATGTACCATTGCTCTCAAAAATAGAAATTTGGAAGCCTCAAGTCACGGATCGTGCTTGTAATCTCAGCACCTAGGAGACTGAAATGGTAGACGAACCATGAGTTCCAGGCTAGCCTGGGCTACAGACTGAGAGCTGATTCAAAGACCCAGATGATGTTGATGACAATAATGATGAAAAACTAGGGCTTTTTTTTTTAATTTTAGAAAGTTTTAAAAAGCACAGGAAAAATTCACCTTCAGAAATGTTTTCAATTGCTACCACTCCAGAGAAAAGTTTACATGTTTAATATTTGAGTCTATTTTAGACTGCCACCAAGAGGAAGATATACTAAACATATGTAGCATATTGCCTGTTCCCTCGTTTCTCTCCATCCCTTCCCATAGCAGTAGCCTGTGTTTGTGTGCGTGCGTGCGTGCGTGCATGTGTGTAGACATGGTCTGTTATGTAACCATGGGTATCCTAGAACTTGCTGTGACCCCAGACTTGTAGTGCTCCCCCTGCCTCTGCTCCCAGACGCTGAGGTTACAGAGATGCACCATCATGCTCTGTTTAAAGATTATTGCTGCTAGTAGGATCGATTTCCATCAGAACAAACTTGGAACAAAAAAGAAAAGAATTTTAATTTTAGTTCATACTTCCCCTTCTTTATGAGAAGAGCTAGGATATAATTTATAGAAGATGAGCCTAGGAAAGACCAAATGCTTCAATAGCCAGAACTCTCACTTTGCAAGGACAGCCACACAGAGAGCGATATTTAATGTGGGTTTTGTTTCTTTAGCCTCTGTCCCCACAGGGGTGTAGGGTTGGGCGCGGTAATTATTCTTTTCCGTCTGGGCTTCTGCTCATTTTTGGAGTGAAGTCGGTGAGAAGTCATTGGCAGGAGGAGTGCTGAACTGGGAACGGAGTGCCCACCCTCCTCCGTCACTTTCCCAAAAAGAGGAGGATCCATCCCCTCAGGAGCTGACACAGACTGGGAAGAAGGGACCACCACTGCCAGAACCTGAGTCATTTCCCTCAGTGCTTAGGCAAACCCTGAAGAGCATTTCCTTCTCCAGCATTTGGGACTGAAATCTCATCATGGCTAAGAGTTTGGAGTCAGGGAAGGGAAAGAACAGAGCCTGAAGGCAGAAAAGTTGAGAGGGAAGAGAGATTAGTTAGCTGGACTCTAAGTCCCATTTGGCAGCCAAGGGCAGGATCTGCTCTTGACTCAATCCTAGAAGTTACTGTTCTCAAATGTACATGGGTACCAGTCCTGAGTTCAAAACTACATAAAAACACAACTTGAACCCCAGATGTGCCCAGGTGGGGTTTTGTTGTTCCTGAGAGCATCATAGGTTATTTATCTAAATAAATAAAATAATCTTTGTGCCATGGCCTTGGGGTCCCCACAAGGAGAATAATCAAGAAATCATTTAACATTCTCTGTCTGCAAGTAAGAGAATCCTGTGTTCATGTGTGTGTGTTTGTGCGCACGTGCATGTGTGTCTGCGGTGGTGGTGGTGGTGGCACCCAAGGTTTCATGAATGTTAGGAACCTACCACTAAACTTCCACAACTTCTAGAAGTTACTTGGTCTTTGCCATATCTATGCCCTAGTCTATGTAGCTGTCTTTTCATAATCCAAAGGCCCACTGAATTGTTTCCTCCAAACAAACGCTAACTAATTCTCTTTAGAGTTATAAAGTAAAGTTTGCAAAATTATAGTGTTTTGCAATCTGTGGCTGCTATCCAAAACCCATTTTAAAATGACTGAAAATTTCCTGGCTTCTTGTTCAAAGTTTGTCTTTAGGCTCTAGGATCTTAATTTTCCCATCGAGAATATTTTCTTCTTTCTGTTTATTTTTTATTTTTGACATGGGTTTTTACCCTAGCTTAGGCGGACACTGAGTTCACCATGTAGGCCAGGTTGGTCCTGGGTTTGAATTGACAGCACTTCCTGTCTTGGCCTCCTGTGTGCTAGGATTATAAACAACCACTGTGTCCATCTGAGAATATTTTCTTTTAAAAAAAATACTCTTCTTATAATGAACAATGTCGTTGGATAGGAAAAACATCTACGCATTCATCATACAAATCCCTAGGCGAGAGTCACGTGATCCGGCTATTTGGGTATGGACTTTCAGTTGTGCTGCCTGTCCGGTGTGGTAGGGAGAACCCACCTTTTTCCACTCACAGGCTTCTCAGTGTTCATCTGGATTGTTCTAGCAAAGGTCACAATTGCCATAGTTAATATTTGACTAAGACTATATTTTTTATAAAGAGGGTGTTGCTTCAAGCTAGTTAAAAAAAAACAAGCTTCAGAAAGATTTAAGGTGGAGTGTTTCAAGAAAAAGAAAGGCTTGTGAACTCAGACAACTAGAAAACTGAGATGTGCTCAAATCATATTCAATTCATAACCTTTGAGATTAGTCTTTATTAGCTTTAATAACAGAAAATTAATTTTTTTGCTATTGTGTGATCAGTTTACAATTGCTATGACCAAAATACTTGACGGGCTGGGCGGTGATGCTCGCCTTTACTCCCAGCACTCCAGAGGCAGAGGCAGGCAGATCTCTGTGAGTTCAAGGCCAGCCTGAACTCTACAGAGTAGAGTAAGTTCCAGGAAATCCAGGGCTGTTACACAGAGTCACCTTGTCTTAAAAAAAAAAAATACCTGATCCACCCTCCACCTCCTCCCCTGCTGCTGCTGCTGCTGCTGCTGCTGCTGCTGCTGCTGCTGCTGCTGCTGCTGCTGGGCTCGCCATGCTCCAGCTGAGTCCTGAGTAGCAGCAGGACCAGGGCCAGGACTGACTCCAGTCCTTGGACTTAGGACACTGCAGCGCCTTCCCTTACGTGCCTGACTCAGTCACATATCCTTTCCGTTTATGCCTGGGGTGGGGAGAAAAATTCCAAACCAGCCGTGTAAATGAGTATGGAAGATTATGATTTCCTGTTCAAAATTGTTTTAATTGGCAATGCTGGAGTGGGGAAGACGTGCCTAGTCCGACGATTCACTCAGGTCAAGGAGCCACAATTGGAGTGGATTTCATGATTAAGACAGTGGAGATTAATGGTGAAAAAGTAAAGTTACAGATCTGGGACACTGCGGGCCAAGAGAGATTTTGTTCAATTACCCGAAGTTATTACCGAAGCACCAATGCCTTGATTCTTACCTATGACATCACCTGTGAGGAATCCTTCCGTTGCCTTCCTGAGTGGTTGCGAGAGATAGAACAGTATGCTAGCCATGAGGTCATCACTGGGCTAGTGGGCAGCAAGATTGACCTGGCTGAAAGGAGAGGGGTCTCCCAGCAGAGGCAGAGGAATTCTCAGAGGCTCAGAATGTGTATGTATTCCCTGGAGACTTCAGCCAAGAAATCTGATAATGTGGAGAAACCCTTCCTTGATTTAGCATGCCAGCTCCTCAGTGAAGCAAGACAGAACACACTGGTGAACCATGGATCTTCACCCTTACCCAGAGAGGGGAAAGCACCAGCTATTTGACTTGTTGTAATTTCAGCTAAAGGCTGAGGCAAAGAGAATCAAGGGAATCAGTGGTTGCATTGGTGGGCCGTATGTTGCTAGGGAATCTGGACCTTCTGACTCCTGTAGGCTCCAGAACTTACAAAGCATGCAGGCCAAGGGCCTCGACTGCAGGCCAGCATCATCAGCAGAACACATAATGGTTTCAGCCTTTTGCAGTCTGGCATTGGAGCAAGGAGAAAACTGCAGTAAGCGCTCCATGATCTGCAGAGCGTGTTGCTTTCGTTTTTAAAAAAGCAATTAAAATGCATTCCTGAACACAGTGCAGGGGATCACGTACTGTGGGAATTTCTCCTGTGTGTCAGCGGGTGCGTGTGGGGCTGCTCTTTAGACTTCAGTGGTTATCTGGTGCCCATGGTTTTCTCGTCTACCAGGTAAACCAAAACTGGAAAGGCCAAGTACTTATCGATAAGTACCACTCTCTGTGGTACTTATCGATAACCCCATGGAGACTTTGAAAAGTGCTGTTTCGGGGCTGGAGAGATGGCTCAGAGGTTAAGAGCACTGACTGCTCTTCCAAAGGTCCTGAGTTCAATTCCCAGCAACCACATGGGGACTCCAAACCATTTGTAGTGAGATTTGGGACCCTCTTCTGGTACTGTAAGCAGAATACTGTACACATAATAAATAAAGAAATATTTAAAAAAAAAGAAAAGAAAAGTGCTGTTTCTTCTGTCCACAAGCACCTCCAAAACCTTTGGGCTGTAAAAACAGAAACCCTTCTCATGACCAACAGTAAAAATTATTGTTTAATAACATATACAAGCTCCATGACTCCTTTTGGTGCTAATCATTATGGTATTTCACAGACCAAATGTTTTACTACATTGATACCCTTAGATGTATTACCTACAAATAAAAAGAAAACGGAGGGAAAAAAACAATACCTAACAGAAATGAGGTAGGATTTCCTTATGATCATGGCTTCAGCAGGGAGTGGTGGAGAGGGCATGGTGGAAAGGGCAGGGTGGGCAGGACATGGTGGGCAGGGCAAGGCAGACAGGACATGGTGGGTAGGATGGAAAGGGCATGATGGAAAGGACAGGGCAGAGTGGACAGGGTGGAGTGGACAGGGCATGGTGGGCAAAGATCAGTACAGCAACACAGCTCACATAATTGTAGGCCAGGAGGCAGAGTGAGAGAGATAGGGATTGTTGATATTCTCAGCTGGCTTTCCTTTCCCCCTTCTTGTATATCTGGGCTCCCAACCCATGGGATGGTGCTGCCCATGTTGAGGGTGGATTTTCCCTAGCAATTGATCCTCTCTGGAAATACCCTTACAAACACACTTATCAATTAATCCTCTCTGGAGAACCCGCCATGAGTGTCACAGGAAACTGCCAGGTGAAGCGGTGAACAGACACTTAAATCCCACACCTGCTCAGAATAGAGAAATAGGTAGTTATTTATTTAGAGGTAAACTCACAAATCAGAATCCTCTGCTTGACCGGTTGAATCACGCGATCCAAAAGGAGCAGCCGGCAGAAAGGAGCAAGGGGAAGGAGAAAAGGGACAGACCCAGATTTTTCATCCGTGTATATAGTATAAGAGGCCATGCCGTGCGTCAGTGGCACACACTTTTAATCCCAGTACTCGGGAGGCAGAGGCAGGCAGATCTCTGTGAGTTTGAAACCAGCCTGGTCTACAAGAGCTAGTTCCAGGACAGGCTCCAAAGCTACAGAGAAACCCAGTCTTGAAAAATAAAAAATAAATTAAAAAAAAAGAGGCCACGCCCCAGTAGGTGGGTGCTTACAAGCTTCAGGTCTTTCTCAGCAGGAAATATCCTTACAAACACACCTATCAATCTCCTAGATAAGACTAAATGCAGTCGTCAGTGAAGATTAACCAGTTCATAGTCACGTTCCTAGAGCATGAATGTGAGCAATGAATGTGAGTGTGAAGTATGCCAATGATAGAAATGATCTGCAGAAGCACACTCACGGGGCACACATTCAGAATCATGAAGCTAAGTGTGAAAAGCACAATTAAAGAGAGACTTAAGCTTTGACATTCTGGCTACACAGAGAATAAAGTCTCTGAATTAATCTTTCTAACCTTGTTCCTGACATTAAACAAACACACTGACAAGCTACTGGCTCACACAGATCAGTACCTACATGAACTGTAAAATGTCTTTTGTGAATTAATAAACGCCCATGACCAAGATTTTCATCCAAGCGACGAGTTCATACTGCTGTTGGATATAATATATTGCTAGAATCCTCAACAAAACTCCTCACCCAGGTATTTAGACCTGATTTTGAAACTGAATAATTTAAATTCACAGTGGTGGTTTAAATAGGAATGGCCCCATGGGCTAATATATTAGGATGCTTAGTTATTAGGAAATGGCGCTACTTGAAAGAAGTTAGGAGGTGTGACCTTGTTGGAGAAAAGTGTGTCCTAGGATTTTGGGGTTTCAGAAGTCCAGGCCAGGGCAGTGATATTCGTGATATTCATTCTCTCTCTCTCTCTCTCTCTCTCTCTCTCTCTCTCTCTCTCTCTTCCTGTTGCCTGCAGATCCAGATATAGAAATAAATCTCAGCTAGCCGCCTTTAATCCCAGCACTTGGGAGGCAGAGGCAGGCGGAACTCTGTGAGTTCGAGACCAGCCTGGTCTACAGAGCTAGTTCCAGGACAGGCGCCAAAGCCACAGAGAAACCCTGTCTCGAAAAACCAAAAAAAAAAAAAAAAAAAGAAATCTCAGCTACTTCTCCAGTATCATATCTGCCTGCATGCTGCCGGGTTCCTGGCCTGATGACAATAGACTAAACCTCTGAAATTGTAAGCCAGCCCCAATTAAATGTTTTACTTTATAAGAGTTGTCATGGTCACGATGTCTCTTCATAGCAACAGAACAATGACTAAGACAGAAGTTGGTACCAGGGACTGCAGTATTGCTGGGATAGGCTTTACCATGCTTTTGTTTGGAGAAATACGGAACACTTTGGGACTTTGGACTAGAAAAGAAATGAGACCTTTTAAGCCAGACTTAATGAGCAATCCTAGTAGGAGCATGGAAGACAGTGATATTGAAGGTAATTTGAACTGTGGGGGCCTGGATCAAGAGGTTTCAGAAGAGGAGAATGTTAGTGTGTTGGCGAGAGATCATTCTTGTGAAGAATGTGGCTGCTTTTTACCCTTGTCCAAAGAGTCTGCCTGAGGCTAACATGAAGAGATCTGGATTAATTCTGTTGACAGAAGAAATCTCAAAATAGCCTAGTAAGATTCTGTTTTGTGGTCATTAGTGGTCACTCTTATGTGGATCTATAATGAAAAAGAATGAGCTGAGCAAGGAAAACTACAAAGTGTACAGTTCAAAGATTAAAGGACACCAGGAAGTAGAATGGAGCTAAATTCTGTGTTCAAGTAGAGAAACAGAAAAGAGAAGCCCGATGGGAAGTGAAATAAAGGAGTGGTTATCTCAAAGCAAGATCCCATCCAGCCAAATTTCCTATTTGTAAAAAGGAACTAAAGAAAGGCTTAGAACTGAGTGTGGGGATGCACGCCTTTAATCCCAGCAAAGGCAGAGAGTATCTGTGAGTTAGAGGCCAGCCTAGTCTACAGACGAAGTTTCAGGACAACCCAGCTTAGGCAATGAAGGAAACCATGGAAAAGGGAAAGCTGGTGAAGATGTAATTGAACGAGGGGGCCATGTTCTGTCCCAGCAAGCAGAGCTTGGCAGCTTTGGCCATGCCATTCTGGCTTTAGAGCCAAGGATATAAGATTCTTCCTCTGAAACTAAAGAAAACAGAAGCCAGGTTTGTCAGGGATGTCCTTGTTGGAGGCCCAGAGAGGTCATTGTGTGCAGCTGTGAAGGGGAAGCCTGGGTTGCCCTGAAGACCCCAAGATGTTGGAGATGTCAGAGCCGTGGGATGTCTGACAAGGAGATCTGAAGGGTTCTTTGACATCAGACATAGAGATACAGAGTTTGGAGTTTGCCCTGTTTGGTTTTGGTCTTGCTTTCGTCCAGCATTGACTCACTGTGATTCCTCTCCTTCCTTTTGGAATGGTAATATATGTCCTGTGCTAGTACATATTGGAAATATGGGATCTGCTTTTTGATTTTTATTTTACGAGGAGTTAGAGTTAAGAGATCATCTTGAGTCTCAGAAGTGACTTTGATCTCTGACTTTTAAACAAGTTTGAGGCTGTTCTAGACTGTGTGGACTTTTGAAGATGGACTGAATGCATTTTTGCATTGTAATATGGCTACTAGCCTATGAAGGCCATGGGGTGGAATGTGGTGGTTTGAATAGGAATGCACAGGCTCACGTATTTGAATTCTTGGTCATGAGGTAGTAGGGCTACTTAACAGGGATTAGGAGGTATGTGGTGAGCCCACAAGTATTATACAGTTGTTGTTTTTTGAGACAGGGTTTCTCTGTGAAACAGGCGTGGCTGTCCTGGAACTCTCTCCGTAGACCAGGCTGGCCTTGAACTCTGAGACCCTCCTGCCTCTGCCTCCCGAGTGCTCGGATTCAAGGCGTGAGTCACTACCACTTGGCTAAAGAGGGTAATGACTGTAATGACAAAATAAGAGAAAAAGAGCATGAGCAACTATGTTTCTGAATCCATTGCAATGGATGTATTGTACATACTTCTAATTAATGAGTTGTCTAGGAGGCTAGAGAAATGGCTCAGCAATTAGAAGTCTGTACTGCTCTTGCAGAGGACCTGGTTTCAGTTCTCCAAACCGATCATTCATTTGGCAGGGGTTCAATTCCCAGCATACACATGGTAGTTCACAACCATCTGGAACTCCAGACCAGGGGATCTTCTAACCTCTGAGGATACCAGACATACATGTGATGAACAGACATGCATGTGGACAAAACAGCTAAATTAATTAATTAATTGATTGATTAAAAAAAGAAAAGGTCAACCTGAAGCTTGACTGAGAATAGTTAGTACGGTGACAGGAACAAAGCAGGAGAAAATACCTCTGCGGCATTTCCTGTA